GAATGTGACTTTGACCTAGGTGGACTGGACCACGTTCTATTCTGTCCTTTTGATTATCTTAGCAGTAGAATTCAATTGCTCAGGCAGCTCACTCAACCAAGGCACACCGGACCAGAACCATGGCCAGAAACACTGAAGCAACCAGGTAAAGACTTATCCTGTCCCTCAGTTTCAGTGACTGGAAGAAGAATCCCAGTTAAAAGGACTATTTATTTTCCTTTACAAAATAAGAGATATTAAGAATATCATAATGCATCTTCAATGGGAAAGTGAGTGCTATTCATGGGTATATTTTTAAAACCCAAATAACTCTCTTTAAGAAATACTTACTTCTCCAGCCATACCTCATGAGGCCATCCATTGAGACTGCCTGTCAATTGCAGCAAAATCAATATTGCATTATGGTTAGAGTCAGGAGACTTGAATTGTATGACCTTGAGCAAGTCATTTAATTTCTCTGCCACAATCTATATAAGCAAACAATGAAAACAATTCTAGCCACTTGAAGAAGGCAGAGTAAGATTAATGATAGCAAGTTTTCAAGACAATTTTCTCTTGGGCTATTTGCCCCACTTCCTAGTTTGGGGTTTATGCTTTCTTATTTTTGATTCATGTTTGAATCCAAACTCAGCCACCCACATATTGTCACAAGGATGAAGCTGGTTCCAAATGCACAAAGGCCATTCCTCCACTCAGCTGAATTTGATATCTCTGGAGGACATTAGCCCTTGTAAGTGTTATTTTCTCTCACAGGAGAAAGATGAAGGTGACCGAGAAGTTCATTTGGAAAAAAGTTCTTGCATGTTATTACTGTCTTCACTCTGGGAGATTTTGTGGCTTCTTCTTGGCCATACTATTTCCTCAATGGTACCATATCTAGACTTTTCTTTTTACCTCATTGTTGACCTAGCCCATGTAACTGATGCTCTAGTTTGGTCTTGCTCTTCCAGCTTGGTGCTCAGTATTCTCTCCAGAATATACCTCAAGTGTTTGTCCCACACCTTCACAGCCTGTGACTATAAGTGCTATATCACTACTTACTGACACATTGAATGACAACCCTATTATCTAACTTTTCCAGTTGCCCTTTGATTCTCTTATTTCAGTATCAGAATTACTATTATTCCTAACCTATGACTCTCCAGATACTTCATTATCCCTTTTATTAAAATTGCTTTTATGCTTTTCCTTCATTCTGGGATCACTGATTCCAGATAGATAAGAAGTACATAAAGGTGGAACTTACTCCTCTGGTCAAGTTCATTCTGTTGGATCCCTAAATTAGCTTACTTGTTTTTTGTTTTGTTTTTCTTGCTTCAACTACTTTCACCTTTATGTGGATGATTCTTATGTTTACAACTTAGACATTCTGGCCAGTTTGATTTAGAAAATTCTTTCCTAGCATTTGTCAATCTAAGAACACATATTGATTCTTACATTAAGGATACATTGTGAGGAACCTTGGAAGGTCAGATTAACAAATTTGAGCTTTATCCTAGAGTGAGAGTCAAAGATATTTTTGACATGTTCCAGGGGAATATATTGCTCTTTCAGCAGAATGGGAAAAGGGTAGATAGAAGGTTGGGGGTTTTCCAAGTCAACATCAGTGATCTTCCAAGAAGTTTCCAGCCTGATGCAGTCAGATATCATGCTACAACTAAAGCCCAGATTTTCACTGACACCCTTAATGCAAATATTTTCTTCTGGGTTTCCAAATGTCTCAATTCCTGACTCTCTGGCTGTGGTAGAAACAGAGAAGAAATGAACATGAGTTTTAAAGTGTAGATTGGCCAACAGTTGTTTCTTTTAATCAATTAAATCAGCCTTTCAGTTCAAGAACATTCTTTGGAGATTCTGAAATTAATATTATTCTCACTTTGCATAAATATTAGGAATATTTGTATTTTCTATGTCTTTAGAGGTATTTCATTCAGAAGTTGAGAGGAGCTGCATTAAGCATAGCAAACTAGTTGGTATTTTGAAATAGACATCACTTTTTGTCATTATTTTGCAAGCAGACTGAAATAGATGGTCAAAAGAAAAACAGGGACTGCATGCTGAGAATTCAGACAGCTACGAAGTAGCCACTGTTGGATCAAACACATAAAATAGATGTGTTCTTCACTTTGAACACAGTGAATTTTTTAAAAAATTATTTGTTCTTTTTAGTTATACATGACAACGGAATCCATTTTGATATAATTATACAAGCAGGGACTATATTTTATTCTAGCCAGGATCCCATTCTTATGGATAGTAGGATTCACTGTGTGTTTTCTGTGATATGTAGAAGCTAACCCACAATAATGGGAATGAGGGGAAGAATAGAAGTTCAGCAGATTAGACAATGGGGAAGGGAATGGGAATAGGCAAAGGAAAGACAAAGGAATTAAACTGACATAATTTTCCTATGTACACCTATGAAAACACCATAGTGGCTTCTTTTGCTTCCTTGAGGACCTAAGAGTTCTTCCCTCCTCAGGAACTACACAGAGGCTGCTCTCTTCATAATCCTGCAACCCACCTCCACCTGCCTCCATCCTGGATCCTACTTTGTCTATCATTGCTTGGCTTAAATTTCACTTTCTCACAGAGTCATTTCAACTACCCAGTACTTATTTGATTAGATCCCTCTGCTGTATTCTTCTAATATACCATAATTTCCACCACAGTGCTTATGGTAGTCTGATATCATATATTAGTTTGATCATTTGTGTAGTATCTTCTGCCCACTTTGACATCAACCCTAACCACACAAGCTCTAAAATGGCAGAAGTTGTTGTTAAATGACTTGTGAGTACACAGAGAGGATTAGGAAGGAAAATAGCCTCCATATTTCATATAACTTTATATGGCTTTATAGAAAGCTTTACATAAAGCTTCATATATTTTTTATAGTGTATATATTTTTACAAACATGACTTTGGAAATAACTGGTCACAACATGAGGCGGATGACATATAAAGCTCAAGTCTTTCTTCCCTGAATTGATTTCAAGTCTTTAATCATTTCTCCAGAAGGAATTGCTGCTGCCAAAGCAAATCATCCAAAAAGGAAGATGCTCAGAGCAATTCTAATACAGGGGTTAGTCTATTATTGCTTAGAAATAATGTCAGGAAATCTGTGGTGAGAACAAATTCTGAAGATAGAGATGGTTTATATTCTTAAATCGAACACATGTCAAAACCCCATGGAATTTCCTTATACTGTCTTATTCATGTGACAATTTAAAAGTAAACATATTAGGGATGTTTAATAACTGTCTTTTCAGATGACAAGTGTGCAGTATTCCATGTAGTAGTTTTGATTCATTTCAGCACACAATGATTTTGCTCTATTGAATTCTATTGGAAAAGCTTTAGAATAGTTAGTTTTTCTATTCAAAGGAATCCTATGGCCAAGGATTCATAAGTAAGGAGCCATTTATAACATGAATGATTGCACTCAATTTGTCTCATTTGATAGTAATTATTTGGCTACTGGATTTTCTCGAAGAGCATCTCATGCACAGAAGGCAGTCTTACCACAGAGCAAACAGTCTCTTGAGACATTCTAAGCAGCTCAAATACCAGGAAAACAGAATTTTATTTTGTAACTTTAAAAGCAGGAAGGAGAGAGAATTCAGCCTGAGAACTAATAATACTTTGCTTTTTGCCCTTAAAAGCAACAAAAATCTGGGTGTGGAGATGCAAGCTTGTCATCCCAGAGGCTGGGGAGGCTGAGGCAGGAGAATCCTGAGTTCAAAGCCAGGCTCAGGAACTTAGCAAGGTCCAATGCAACTTATCAAGACCCTGTCTCTACATAAAATATTTACAAAGGGCTGGGGATGTATAGCTCAGTAGCTAAGCACTTATGGGTCTAATCCCCAGTATTAAAAACAAAAACAAACAAAAAATAAAACCCAAACCTAAGACAAAACAACAAAGTAAAAAAATATTTAATCTGGATTACTTACATCTATATGATTGACAGAATTAGTGTGTGTGGGACTAAGGCACGAAGCTTAGTCTCCTGACGAGGAGCATCTGCTGAGCTGTTGCTGCTTCTAGAACATGGACTACCTAGTCTGAGCAGCATGAAATGTGGTCCAGCTCTCCTGCTTTCCAGCCTTGTGCCCCAGGGTGAAACAGAAAGCCCAATAAATCCATCAACTTATAGAGATGAATGAGACACTCACACAGAGCTCTTAGCATGCTATCTAGCATATACTGAGCAATCAACAAACACTGACCATTAAGACGGCATGTATCTATATACACAAATCCAAGTCATGGCATCTTCACAGATGTTTCTTTGCTTAATGAATGATTCAAAACCTTTGAAAAAAGGGAGCAACCGATGGAAATATGTAAATATTTTATAATAGTTATATAATATCTATATAACATAAATAAAGAAACCATAAACAAGAATGAATGTATGAGACAGGAGTGTAAGTGTGTTGATGGGTGTGCACGTGTGCATGACCTTCTTAAAGAGAAGTGATGACGTTGTATTCTACCCAGGCTATGTTGGTTCTTGACCTGGGCAGTTACTAGTTACTACTTGGTCTGGTTCTAATTGAGGGAAAGAAAAATGGATGAAAACATCTTGCTTAGTTAGATTTTGTCTCACAAGAGATTAATTGTCTTTATAAGCAGTAAGAATAGGAAATACGGTCTGGGAACTAATATTACTTCACTTTTTCCCCTTAAAAGTAACCACCATGAAGTAAAATCTCTATTCTACATTACTTCAATCTACATGATCAATATAGAGGAATTACTGTGCCAAGGGAGTAAGGCTCTGAGGCTTATCTCTAAGCAAAGAACACATAATTCAATCCATCTCTTCCATGTGACCATTTCAAAGTCCCCAAATGTAACAATATGTTCATCTCAAACCAAATCCTGACTATAAATATGTATAGGTTGTCTTCCTTGTTCTTTATCAATGGATTTAGAAATTGTTAAAGGAGAACCTCTAAATATTGTGCAATTTCTAAGAAAACCACCAAGCTGTTAATGAAGTAAATATCTGTTTAATTTACAAACATCAGTAGTGTAACTGATATTAGTCTGGAGAAAGACAAAGCACACTGAATTATACACGTACATCTAATTTTCTTTTTTAAAAAAGATTTTTTTGGGGGGTTGGGGGAGAAACATCTGCATCATTACAGGGCACCCTGGGATTTTAGTGAGGGAAAAGCAGAGTCCACTATAGATCCTCATCAATTCTACAATGTAATTTAGCAGCAAATATGTTAACATGGGAACATGAAGGTAATAAAGGAGTTTTATTTTTGGAAAAAAAATTACAGTTTTTGACATGACAGTTTCCCTCCCCACCAATCAATAAAAGGGCAAAAAAATGTCAAGGAGATATTAATTTGTAAAAGGTCTACTTTCTAGTGTCAATTGCTACACACCATTTTTCTTCTGTAAAGACGTGTAGAGGGGCCACTTCTTCCTATATGATGACTGTCTCACACAGATGTCCTTTTCCTACTCTTACTCTGCATGCTCTTTGCAGCTGTCCTAAATGAGGCCAATAGGTCTGTGACACCAGTGGTCGGATGTTCAGGTCAATCAACAAACCAACACATATTTATCCCAAGATAAACCTATGTTAGTACTATTGCCAAAAAATAAAAAAAAAAAATCCTGATATTTAAGTTTGAAAAATGTACAAAAAAATCAGGATAATTATAAATTAATATATATTAAAGCATCAAGAAACAGCAAAAGAATGGCCTAAAACGTTAAGTACAATGTACTTTGATACAATAAATATTCCTCATTGAAACTGAATACTGTATAGGGCTGTTTAGAAGTCATAGAAACAAAAATTCATATTATTACTAATTTATTTATCAATAATCTATTGGTTCTTTATCATCTCCTTTATCGTTTATATTACAAAAAATTAATACTGGAAAATGGTAGATGAACACTTTTGTGTGCTGCTTCTGCGGACATTTAGAAAGAAGGTAGGGTGAGTCAGCACTTCACTCCCAGTCCTTTCATGAATGGAACCCAGATCTTCAGGATACTTTATATTTTGCACAAAATATTTCTTATCAGCTTGCTCTTTCTGTAAATTCTGGAATTCCACCCCCTGCCTGGCAGTCTCACTCACACACTTGTGCTTGATGTGAAGGTGGGACACACATTTTATGCTCTGGGCAAGTACAGGTCGGTGCACAGTAGCTCCTCAGTCTCTATGTGCTTCTGCGAGTCTTCAGCTTGTTGCAAAGACAGATCTGTGTTGCAACCGTTCCCACGGTTGCTGTAATGCCACCACGTATAACTTTCTTCACACTTCTCCAGTGTAGGGGAAGCTTTAGTTTAAGCAAGTCTTTTATTTTATTATTATTTTTTTTCAAATGCAGAAAAAAAGTCTTTATTCTCATAATAAAAATAAGTCCGTTCTGTATTTTACAATATATTTCAAATATTTCCACTATGAAGCATAAATTAGTCCAACACGGTCAAGAAGTAGACAACCTGTGTCAGAGGTGGAAGGTGCTGGGACCACGCCTAGGACGCACACCGCGTGCAGCCACACTTTACCACCTTCTCAACCTCATCCACAAAGGAGGACCCGTCCGTGCATTCGAAAGAGTATTTCCGCCGCTTGCTCCTCAGAGGCCCACAGCACTGGGCCCCTGCACACCCGCCTTTACATTCCAGGCGTGAGACCTTCTTGGTGGTTTGGCAGGCTGCGTAGCCCTGCTGCTTTTGGTAATAATCTCTTATCCGTTCCCCTCGACAAGAGATTTCTAGAAAAGAACAGAAAAAAATCGCAGTCAATGACTGTGAGTCCACATCTCAATTCAGTGGATGCTGTCTCTCTGCCCTTTTTTTGTAAGTGCTATTTTTAATATTATGTTTTTATTACATATCTTGGGCCGGTGGCACAGCCTGCTGTTCCTTGAAAAAAAAATGTGTCTTTTGGGCCTTTATTTCTAGCAAAGTGAATGCTATATATGTAGACTATAAATACAATGCTATTACACTGACAAGAAAATTGGATTCCTAAATCTTTTCCTTTATTGCAAAGAAAAAAGAAAAAAAAAATACACATCTTCTGTTTTTACACGACTAACAGCTGGTTTTGTTTACCACGGAGAGCAGTTTCAGAGAGAATGCAATTTAATTTATTAGACCTGGAGTTTAATATTATCCAATCTGTTACTTAATGCAAGTAACATTCCACTAACTTCATAAATTACCCTAATATGAAGTAGTTCAAAAAGGAGACATCTGCTGAAAGCTTCAGCAGGCACGCTCTTCCTGTCTTGTCCTGCTGCTGATACACAAAGCACAGTCCCTGCCAGCTGGAGACAAGGCAAGTTCTGATCATGGAAACAAAGTGATGGGCTGAAAAGTGTCTGTTCCCATCCCTCTTGCCTGCGTAATTTGCTATGGAAAAATCAGTGACTTTGAAGTCAAAGGTGATTTTTGGGCTAAAACCAGAGCCGAATTATTGGCGCCATCTTCTCTGTGCTAGAAGATGAATTAATAATATATGTGCATGAGAAAGGCAGGTAAAGGTTGCAGGTGAATTAATAAGTTAATGGGCCTTCTGTAGAGGGTCAAAAGGAGAATTACCTTTACCAAAGGTAAAATAGAGAATTTTTGGAGCAAATCAGGTTGTGACGGGAAATCTGGAAGCCATCTTATGGTGGGAGTTAAGGACATTTCACATCTGGTGCCTTCATGACACTTGAAAATAAATCAAAAGCTGTAACAGACAGTAACACGAGGACCTGGGATTTTCTCCTGTCACCCCTCTGCCTGTTTCTTTCACCCTTTCTCTCTCATCAAAGATGGGGCACTCCTCCTGCTTGGCCAAGGGAAGGAGCTGCACAGCTGGGCTGGCTCACCTCGGTCGCAGCTGTCCCCAGTGTATCCACTGCTGCATTCACAGTAGGGCTGTCCGAGTCCCGAGAGCCTGCACTTCCCATGCTTGCACTTGACCGTCTGGCAGGGATTGAAAAGATCCTCTTCTTCATCACAGAGGACACCTCCGTGGCCCTCCAGGCACTTACAGCTGTAGGAGAAGGCATTGATGGGCAAGCACGTGCCATGTACGCATCTACAGGGGAGAAGGAACACAGGGGTGAAAGTGCGTTTGGTGTAGGAGGTCAGATGGGAACTGAGGATGACTGCATATGAGCCACAGAGTGCAGATGGGCTGGCTTCATTCTGTCCCATTTCCCTATACCTGCCAGCCTGCCTCCCTTCCTCTCTTGGGCTTTGCTTTGAGGGTTGAGCTTATGTGTTCAACTAAAAAGCAGCCCAAACTTACTTATTTCCAAGACAGGGGTCATTGGTCCGCTGGTCACAGAGGGGGCCCATCCATCCTTCCTCACACTCGCACGTGAAGCCTGATGGGCTGCTGGGCTGGCACCTGCCATGGGCACACACCTTCTTGTGGCACGGCTCACAGCCCGGCAGAATGCCTGTCTGCATGGGCACCTTCCGGAAGTCCTGCAGCTCACTGTTGATGTAGAGGTTCCGGATGCAGCCATGGAAGCTGGTGCCATTCTGCCCAGGGGCTTGGCGCAGAGATGCCACATTGTTCTTCCCTGGCATGCCTGAGTGGACACCACATTAGAGGTCAGATTCTTTGCAGGCTTATCAATCCTTTACTACCCAGAAATGTAGGTACTTAGGACCTCAGCCCAGCCAACAGGATATGTGGGTGGGGATGGTGGGGTAGAGAAGAGAGGGATATTGTTTTTGGTTTTGGAAGATGTTCTAGGTACTTCTAATGAACTGCTAGAATAAAGAACTTAATGGTTAAATTTTAAAATTTGTTTCAAACAAAAACTTTGCACATAAACATACATATATAAAACCTAGAAGCAGAGATACTATACTTAAAGACTGGGGAGCAGACTAATGTTTCTTTCTCTCTATCCAACCCCACCCATTCCAGATACCACCATCTGTAGGAAGCCTGGGAATTCCACAAAGCACAATTTGTAATCCCCTAATTCTACCCCTTATTTTAAAAGATGAAGGACCAAGATCCAGAAAGCTTGGGCAATATGGTCAATGTCACTCAGCAAGTTCAGATTAGAGTTAGGCCAATGAAATAAACCTCCTTAGTCCTGAAGTTAAGGTGCAGTCCACCAAGTCTTGGAGGCTGAGAGCTGGGGTTCGCAGTGACCATTTTTCCTAGTTCTGCCTAATTCTATAAATAAGCAACTAACCCAATACACCAAGGGCAATGTCCCCAGCTCAGTTAGGGATGTCAGTGCCTGAAAATCTTGCCCCTGCTTCTTATCCAGATGGCAATTCATTCACATCATGCATTTTTCCTAATTGAGAGTGAAGCCTTCATTTTCTTAAACAATCAGGAGGACAAAAGAAATTCCTTCAAAAACACAGTATTTGAAATCTTGGTACATAAATATTCCACTAGTGACAGTTATCTGGTAACTTTTGTTTTGGCAAACTGAAGGAATCTTTCCATGACCTGAGCCAGAAGCTGAAATAGTTTCTGGATTGTATCCTGCAGGGGGGTAACCATCCAGGTCATGTGGGGCAAAGGGAAGGAGCCAGAGGCCTTCAGAGTGCTGAGTCTGTCTGGGTATGCTCATGCCCCAGCTGTACCTGGACTCTGGTGTACTAACTGCAAGTTCTGGACTTGAAATATCAAAGCTCTCACTCTCCAGGGGATGTCTGTTATTGACACTGAGAACCATAGGAATCTCATTGGGACCCTTCCTTATGCCACTGTCCCTTTTGCCATTCAAGGATCCTCATTAGAGTCCTAGCAGGTACCAAAATCAGGCAGCAAGGGTCACAAAACCACTAGAGTATCGGTCAAGTCTTCTCTTTTGGTTTTCAGTGCATTTGGGCCAGGCATTTCCCTTCTCTAGGGCTTAGTGTTCTCATCTATATCACTAACAGATGGACCAGAACGTTTGTGTCTAAGCTTGACACACATCAGAACCATTAGAGGTAATGTTAAATCTCCCCATCCTGAGATTCTGACCTTGCTGGGAGAGAAATGGATGAAGAATTCTAAACGCCAACATGCAGGGCAGGTGGTCCATGGTCATACTTGGACCTGAATGCAGGTCTGGGCTTTGAATTTCCATGTGCACAGTTTTTTACTGTGTGTGTGTCTGGCCTTGGAAATTGGGCTGCTACAGCAGGGTCAAAGGGACAAAATTTACCATTTCCAGGAAAGGACTAGTGACAGGAAATTTCTTGCTTGGGGTGAGTCTTTCTAACGTAATCATATCCATCCATCATAAAAATGTGGGCCTTAATATCCACATGGTTATGGTCCTTTCTTCAGAGGTTAGAAATGAACTTCTTCCAAAGTTATCCTTAATAGCTCATTTTGATGAAGGTATGATCCCCATATGTGCACATCTACTGAATACAGATTGACAAAAATTCTCAGCAGGGAGAAACAATTAGTGAGTGTGTGCCTGTTAAGTCTCCAAACTCAAACGTATAAAAGGTCTAGTTTTGATTATAGCAGAGAGAGAGAGAGAGAGAGAGAGAGAGAGAGAGAGAGAGAGAGAGAGTGTGTGTGTGTGTGTGTATGTATTTATATTTAACTATTAATAGGCTATCATGGAATCAAAAACCATTTCAAATATCTATGATCTGTGGGGTTTTGGTGGTGGAGGTGCTTGATATTGAAACCAAGGTTACATGCACAGTAAGCACTGAGCTACATGCCCAGCCATAAACTCTTCCAAGTTAACCTTCCTATGTGCTTGACTAGGGAGCTAGACCTTAACTGATAAAAGTAGAATATCCAGGATATTTATAAAGCCCTTCATCTATGCCATGGATCTTAGATGGATTAATCAATAAATAGACTATTGTTAGACGTAACAGACTCTGCAGGTTTCCAAACTGGACCAATAAAGGGACCCAGTATCAAGATTGATGTCAATGGCAGCACTAGCAGATCTGTAATATATGCATGGATCTTCATATCAGGGCCTTACCTGCCCATTAGGTAATAAATGTTCTGGTTGAACTGTTTAACAGAAAGACATAAAGATCAAATCTTTTTGTGTTGAATAAAGACTATGTCACAAGTAGTTAATAAACCCAGGGTAAGTTAAGCCGCCTCTCCATTTTTCTAGAGAACACTTCTGTGAGAGACACAACAGGATGCAACACGTTCGGACAGTCGTCCTTAGGGGTGGCCCTGTTTTCAGACTGGACATGTTTACCTTACTTTCCTCTGCTGACTCAGCTTCTCATACCTCTGCCATGCAGCATTCAAAGCTGTGTTCTTACAAGATTCCTTGTATTTTTAAAATTTGAATCATCCTTGCAACTACCCTCTGAGTTGGAAGGAAGTGCAACCAATGTGTTTGCTGGCACTGAGGCTGGGATAGAGGTGGTTTTCTTCAGGACTGGATGGACAGAGGCCTTGTATGGATTCTTCCAGATACTCCACCCTCAGTAGGACTAGTATTTTTCATTTTTTAGCTTAGAATACTTTTTTAGAAAAATGTTATGATCTAAACAATCTCATTCTATATTTGAGAAAAAAAATATGTTTGCACTATGTTCCAAAGAGGTTTTAAAAGATTCAGTGAAATGGTTTCTAGTAAAAGCACAATAAAATCCAGTAAAGGTTAAGTCCAGAAATAAACAACCAAAAGCCACATAACTTAGATTGTTTTGCTTTGCTTTCTGATTTTTCTTAAGAAGTGAGTGGCAATGCAGGTGGCTTTGGAGTCAGACAGATCTGGACTTAAATGAGGAGTCTACTACAAAATAGTTTTGTGAACTTGGACAAGTTCTAAAAAGTCCTTGAGGTTGTCCTTTGGGAACTTTGAAGCAGAGAAAGTAATATCTACTTCCTAAGGTTTTGTTGTGTTGGGCATGTAGTTTGAACTCAATAAAGGTAACTTCTTCCAAATCACAGGGACAGCTATGACTTACGTGCTTCGCCCATCTGAAAGCAGCCCTGTTAACTCTTAAATGGAATACAAGCAAGAATGGAAAGCTTTTGTTTTTTAATGAGTCTCATGGTTGTGATTCCCATGAAGCAATTAGATTAGTAACTTTCTAAGCAGACTCACTATGCAACCCTTTAATCACAAGGCATGGTGGTTACAAGAAGAGGCACTTTCATCCCCCACATCCCTGAGAGCAGATGGGGCATTTCTTTTTCTACTTAGTATCCTTTATGTATCCATTAACTTAACTTAGGTCCCAGGATATTGTAGTTGCTCCACAGATGTTTACAGAAGGACACTAAAGACTGAACTCTTTCTAAAAAAAAAAAATCAAACTCTATAAAAGTGTTACCACTTAACTACTGAAAATTTTAAACGCAGAAGGACTATGGACTTAGAGAACAATTTTTAAAAATCCTCTGAAGAAAGCCTTTCGGGGTTAAGATAATTGTGTAGAATCCCAGAGTTACTGTTTTGTAGGAGATGATATGAACTTCATGAAAATACCTGTCATAGAGAAGAAATCAGGTTCCCTGACCTCTTCATACTCATTTTTTCTGTAAAATGAGTTAATTTTGTCAACTTAACCCAATGTAATTCAATTCAATGTGCCTCAAGTCAACATTGCCTCCTCTCTTGTTCCTTTCTCTAACTTCTAAACTTCTGTGTCTCTAGTTTATACTCATTCCTCCAGATGGAGGCAGGAGTGGGGGCTCTCTGCTTTGTGGGTCTTCTCTCCTGGGCTCCTTTAAAACTTTGCTTGTACCTCCTTCCTTCACACATTTACTCATTTTCCTTCTTGCTGAATACAAGTTAAGTCCTGCATCTTCTCTACATCATTTCTAGCCCTGCTCTACCTTCCCAGCCTCCTCTCTTGCTCATTCAGGTGAAGGTCTTGGCTAAGCAGAACCCCTTGCTGGTGGCTGATACAGACTGTACATATAAGTTATTCATGAGCAGCTGGTAGTGCAGAAGCTCTCACATGGTCACATGTGTCTTAGCGGGAAGGGTTTTGACTCCTTAAGGAAACTGGGGTGGGGCACCTACTCCCCAGGTTACCTTGTGCTTGTTTCATCATTTTTTTCATAGTCTGATTTGAATACCATCTTTGTTTTTCTATAGTATAGGTAAATAGAAGATTTGATGATCTGACGTACAAATCACCTAGCATGTGGTAGGCACAGAAGAAATATTAATTACTGTCCTCTATCCCAATGACACATGTTGTTAGACCCACACAGCCAAGATTACAAAATGATCTCTTAACACTCATCTTTGGCTCTTTCTGTTCTGTCCTTGCTGGCCATCTTTCAGATGGATCAGCATTGGTCAATGACTATGGCACCCGGCATCAGTAACTTCAGAATTAGTCTATGATGTGAACCACCATAGGATATGGGAAGCCATGAATTGGAAAGTGGGCTTACCTCCTACGTAGAGTGGAGAGTCAAAATTCAGAGTAGACTGTTTTGACAAGTTGGTGATGATTTTGGGGCTTCCCCCATCGACGGAGAGGGAAAGACTCTGATCCAGTGCAAGCAGTTCCACGATGTGAAAGTTTCCATCATTGATCGTCTCCACGCTGCAACAGAGAAACAACTTAGCCGGCCCTTCCATGTCTCTTTATTAAAGAGAAAGTGTATCTCTATCTAGTCTCTTTTCTATAATTTTTTAAAGTACCAGGTCTATCAATTATTACTGCTGCCTTCTAAAAGCTTTGAGAAGGCTTATAAAAATTCATAAAATGGACAAACATAAAGTCTAAGAAACTGAGGTAAATGGAAAATGCAGATTAAAAAATATGATTTTCAGTGCAATTTGTAAATAGGTGCTGGATGGTTTTAAGTTCTGTTTACAAATTTAACCATGGTGTCAGAGCAGGCAAAAATGTTAACAGGAACAACGAAACAGGACCCAGGAAGAAAATGGCACCAATACATAACACAGAGTCCGGAATATACTCTCTTTTCACTATATAGGCAAAAGGTGTAACTGGAAATTGGCATGGAATAATAAAGTGAACACCAAAGACCCTGCAACATGGGATACTGTCTGGGAAAACTGAAAATGGGTTAAAAAATGGATTTATGGGAGCTGAGGATAGAGAGACTGCTCCAAAATGTGAGTGACTACTACTCCCTCCTCAAGACAACTGCTTAGATTTCCAGACACTGATACTTAAATTTGTAAAATTCAAGCCTGGGAAAGGATGAAAAGCTGTATTAACATTTATGCTGGTTCTTACCACTGGAGTCTAATCATATTGCATTGTTTGCTGACTGAGAATAAACAGGTTTTGATCTGAGGACAATCTGAAACATTCTGCAGAATTGTGAACACATTTGAAGTTGTCTTTGTTGAAGTGTTTACAAGGGTTCATGTGTGCTGGGATCTTTGATAGGATAGCCTGTCTCAGATATCAACTTTAAAAATAAATATTAGAAATGTCAATCAATATTTTGCCTCCTACATATTTAATTATCCTAACATTTAACATCATTAAAACTGGCAAAGACTAGAAAATTGCTTTCTAAATACAGTTACATATCAACTGTTCTCCGTCTTTAATTTGACTCTCTTCTAAGGGGATTTGCTGAGTTGTAGTATCAACTAGAGTTAATTATAAAGAATTTGGAGCTTCACAAATCTGAATTTGAATCCTGGTCATGCAAGTATTAATTAATGTTTGACCTTGGATAAACGACTTGATTACTAATACATTTCACTTTTCTTTTTAGTAAGTGCTAATAAATGTTTCTCCCTTCTACAGTTAATTTGAGGTCTATATCAAGTCAACATTTAAAAATGCGTAACATAGTTAAATTAAATGTTAGCTATTAGTACCATCACCACCATCAACACCATCTCCATCATCATCACCATATAAATAAATTACCCAATACTATTTCTGAATCTTTTTCAGAAAGAAATTCAGAAATTTAGATTAATTCTGTTAATCTAAACATTAACAGAAAAGTAAGAACTTTTGGAGAGTAGTTCTTGTTCAAGTTTCTAAAGTTCTAAAGTAAAGCATTAAAATAAAGATACATAAAAAGGGTAAAAGCCAATTTTTTCCCCTTGTGGTCATATATAACCCTTTAAGTGGTTTTATATGGATGTTCGATAACTTTGACTTTAATTACATTATAAATATTAATAATGAAGTCTCCTTTTTCTCTCTTTAAAATTGTAAAGAAAGGCCCATATGTACTGAGAAATGGGTCCTCGGTCACATATTGCTCTTAGACAATCAATGAAGGCAAGTCATTGTTAATGATGGTATACAGGTGGCTTAAGACTTTTAAAGTTTCATGGACCCTTTATAATGCAGGGTTCCAGCTGTGAAGCAGGAGGTATGTCACTTTGTTACTTCTCCTTTATACCCCATTTTTGTTTCATTTTTTGAGTATATGTTTTTAACTCTCACTAATTCTAAGCTGCATTCAAGTAGGGGCATTGCATTATTTATTTCCCTATTCCTTAATGTACTTAGCAGAGTGTCTCCTAAATAATAGATGCTTAAGTAAATATAAAGGATGTATTAGGAATAATAGAGGCGTTTTTGTTTTAATAATACTAAGTAGAATATAGTTCTAATCAATAGGCTTCTTGTATATTTAAAACAAGACTTCTGAAAGATTCACTTTATTAAAAAAATTTTTTTGAGTTAACATTCGCATATTGTTTGTTGGATCTGAGAGAAATCTTGCTCAGCTAGGCCTACTTCTTTAAAAATGTGTGACCTCAATTGTGACCTTAGGTGATTATTCTCTTTTCTTCCTTATTAGAATAATGTTAATAAAAGAGCAAAGAATTCTATAGTGCATGCAATGGGCCGGGTACTGTTCTAGGGATTTTGCAAGTATTTCCTCATTGGAGCTTCACAAGAGTTGAGAGTTTAGGGGATTCATAGCTAAACAGTCGTGAAGCCAAGCTGCTTTACTCCAGTTTATGTGATCTCAGATATTATGCAACACATTTTCAGTAAAAGTCCTAAAGAGGCCTAGTACTATATAAATGTGTGTGTTCTCACCACTAAAATCCTTTAATGGCATTTCTTACAGATATCCCAGAGATAGGTACCTCACAAATAACCTTATATGATAATTGCAAAACTTGGTACATTTACTCAAAATCACTGAATTAAAAAAATATAATAATATTACAAGAAGATAGCAGGTTTATGAGGATGCATATATAGTATGTGGAAAGCTGAGTGTGAATTCTGTTTCTCCAATCATGAGTGAGATTCACATTAATATTTTTCTCCCCCTGTAAGTTTTAAATGTCTAGTCTGATCATTTTGGAACCTGATAAAAAGTTACAACACACATTATTTCCCTTTATATCTCCTTAGAATTAAGTGACATCTGACCTTAGCCTTTTTACTTGTAAGTATTGCAAAATTAATATTTTCAGATTCTTTGTTTTTATGATGATGATACTGTGTGTATGGGGCCTCAAGAGAATATGTAAGAGTTAAGAATATTCTAAATTGTTTTACTCTGTGTTCTCTGGCATGAGACAAACTGGGAGTTGTCCAAGAATCTTTTGCCTACATATCCTTTTAAAAGAAAAGCAATAACTGACACCAGTTGTTACTTGTAAGACAGAGATCATCGAATTTTCAGTCTATCACAGTCAGTTCTTACATACCTACTTGCAAAGGATAACATCCTTTCGGGTCTGATAAGTATTGATAAACCTCCATTTCCCTGGGGAACTATATATTTGATGACTTACAAAAAGGAGCAAGTGAACCATTTAACTTTGAACTTTTCCACTGGGAACATAAATTTCATTTATTACGATTATTATGTAATTTAGTTTTACTGTATTCATCTATTACTGAGATTTTGTTTTCTTGTATTTCTAGAATATAAATGGAAGTATAAAAGCCATGTGATTTTCCAGTAATGCCTGTGGTTTGCTGCATACAAATGCTTTAATCCTTGGGGCTTAAAGGAAAAGAGGGCTCTAAAATGTTTCCAACTTTCTTTTTCTACTTACTCAGGACATTAAAAATAAAATTTTTATATTTCTATGTCAACCATGAATATCAAAGTGTTTTAGTAGTTTTACAAAGATAAAATTTCATTTTTGTTTATGTGAGCTCCAGCTTTTTGCCATAAGAATTTTAAAAATCTGGTGGTGGTGGCATAGTCCAAGCAATGGAACAGGAGTCTGAACCAGACATTCTGATATCTCTGGGCTGAATGTATTTCCTCTGTGAAGTAGGGTATGGTAATAAAAAAACATGTCTGCTCATTTTCTTAAATCAAAAAGAATAGGCAGCTAAATGAGATTCCATTGGATGCATAAGAGTTTTTCAGAAGAAAGTTCTTATAGAATAGTTCATCAAGTAATATATTTTAATCAGGAGTTTTGAAGCAGATTGATTTTAATAAAACACACTAAAATAGAAAGGGACCTCTATGCTTGAGCATACTGTGGGGTCACATGTAAAGCAATGAAGCTCTCATTTGCATATTGTTTGTTGGATCTGGGTATCTGGGATTAAAGAGAATCCATAAACCACCAGAAATACTAATTTCTAGGAACCTGCCCTGTGTCAAGTAGTGCATTAGGTACTTTGTATTTCTATATACAAATTCTTATAACCACATGTGAAAATAAGATGCAGTTCAGATAGTTGAGAAGATGACACTGCAGCACAAGAGGTGGACTAACTTCCCCAGGGTTATAAATTTGATGATGGTACCTTCCCAAGTGGCATGCCCAGAATGGCTGTATGTTTATCTCAAAAATAAGAAGACCATCTTATAGATTCGGTATGCTGTCTGCCTCCCCTTTGAAACTGAATGCCTCAAGAATGCAGACCAGTTGAGTTTCCTTTTTTCTTAATTTTTAAATGCAAATTAGACAATTCTGGAGCTATGTAACCAACCAAATCTAAAGTACACAGAAGAAAGTCCCCTGGAGTTTCATGGACCTGTAAATAAGGAAACTGATTAATACTTAGTGTCCTACACAGTTGCACAGTGGTTCATTTGATTTCCTAATTTTTAAATAGTAGTTTAAAAACTGGATTTCTAAATAAGCTGTTTGATTTGGAGCATGAGATTAATTTGAATCTAAAGATATACATACATATTTTTCAAGAAGAACTTTTATTAAAATGTTCTCTTTTCTAGACTAAAAGAAAGTTGCTTTGAAAGGTAACAAAACAACTTTATTTTCAGATTTCTTGAGAATAAAATGTATTACTCTATCTCTAAGAGCCTAGTGCTAATGTGAGTTTTGACTTTAGGCTACAAGTCATTCATCCATCCATCCATCCATCCATCCATCCATCTATCCATCCATCCATTCATGCCACTAATACCGAGTCCCTTTTATGCTATTCTATATGCTGTAAAAATCAGGCATTTGTGCCAAATTCTTCATTCATTTACTTGTTTGGCAGCTCATTTTATTGGCTATTGCTTATTAGAGACAGTGGAGTGTTGACAAATGTTTAACAATTGGCTCTCTGGGAAAAGAAAATGAGCCTGGATTTGTAGCATTTGCTGACTTCTGGAGTGGAAATACTCCTGACATGGCTGATTTCAAGCCAACACCAAGCATGATGTTGCGGGACCTGGGTGTGGAAACAGGCAATCAACTGCTCTCAAAGCTTAGCTCCCACAGATTCCTTTCATATGGGCTATTCTCAAAGTGTAGTCCTTGGAACACGGTATATCCCTGGGAATTTGTCAGAAATGTAAACTGACAGGCCCACTGGAGATCTGCAGAATGAGAAACTAGTCGTGGGGTCCAGAACCACTGCTCCACACTACTGTCTGGATGCTGGTGCTATGAATTGTGCATGTCTAAAAGAAACCACAGTCTTCTGTCTGGATGAGTAGATGTACATGTTGCTTTAGCTGTACTGCTAAGGAATAATCAGTGTCTTGTGTTTCCTTAAACACACTCAAAGCTGTGCTAAATCCTGTTCTCATCTTTAAATGATAGCTGTTTCCAAAAAGGATGTATGGTTTGGAAAAGGACACTAATTTGAATCTAATGAAGGAAACATGTATTTTTCATTAATAATTCAAACAATTCCTTTTATCTAAATTAAAACAAAGTCACTTTGAAGGACAGCAAATTATCAGCATAGACATAATTCCATGAAACAACTGTCCTCAAACAGACTTATCTGAAATAACAGATACCTAAAATGAAATTGTCTAAACCCAAAACATCCTAGAAATAAGAACGTCTAAGAAACTTTTCCTTAATTCTATCAGATTTTGTTTTGTTAAAACACAATACATTTATCCAAATGTTGAAAACTAATCAGGCAATTGGTATAATGCAATTAATGTACAAAATTATTTCCATGTGCAATTCTCCAATAGCACATTTAATGATGCACAATTCAGAAAACAATGTTTTGCCAAAGTAATTTTTATTTAACATAAAATGATGGCAGTTAAACTGAATTTTAACTGGACAAGTTTCTCTGGGGGTAAAAATATGTAACATACCCCCTTTTAAAAAATCAGTGTGGTGTATTTTAATGAGATTACCTAAATGGAAACAAATCATTATTTGAACATTTAATTCAACCAAACAAAATATATACTAAGAAACTTAGGGGAAAGCTGATTGCAATAGTATTATCAAGGATTTTGCTATAATGATGAAGAAACGGTGCCTCTCATTAGAGATTCACCCTGTAGTAAGGGCCAAAATAAGGACAGAGACTGCTACTTTATGACATTTGAATAGAAGGCAGAGAAGTAGCCACAGCAGAATTAAAACTTGAGACAGATTGCAAATCAAAGGTGAAGGGTAGAAAGGAATTAAGAGTAAAGCTACTAGACCCATGCTACACAAGAAGCTGGCCAGGCCTTTCAAGGATGTTTATAGCAGCACAATTCACAGTAGCTAAACTGTGGAATCAACCTAGATACCCTTCAGTAGATGAATGGAAAAAATGTGGCATATATACACAATGGAATATTATTCAGCAATAAAAGAGAATAAAGTCATGGTATTTGCAGGTAAATGGCTGGAGTTAGAGAAGATAATGCTAAGTGAAGTTAGCCAATCCCAAAAAACCAAATGCCAAATGTTTTCTTTGATATAAGGAGGCTGATTCATAGTGGGATAGGGAGAGGGAGCATGGGAGGAATAGACAAACTCTAGATAGGGCAGAGGGGTTGGAGGGGAAGGGAGGGGGCATGGGGTTAGAAATGATAGTGGAATGTGATGATCATTATTATCCAAAGTACAGGTATGAAGACACAAATTGGTATGGATATACTTTGTATACAACTGGAGATATGAAAAATTGTGTTCTCTATGTGTAATAAGAATTGTAATGCATTCTGCTGTCATATATAAATTAAAGAAAAAGAAGAATTCAATGGGAACACAGGTTTATGTGAGGCAAGTGATTGGAACTCAGTTTTGGACATTCTGAATTTCTGATATCAATAGCTATCACGGTTTACTTTTTGTCATGAATGTTCTGAGTACTTGTATTAAATAATAAGATTTTCACCACAGTCCCATAAAGAAGATGTGCATGCTGCTTTAGTTGCACTGCTAAAGCATAGCACCATTATTTATCACTCCCATTTTCCATGTGGGGTCCTAAGAGTTGTAGTGACTTACCCAAGACACACTGTCAGTGGGTGAAAGATGTGGCACTCAAGTCAAGGCAGACTGACTTTAGAGCACTGCCTCTACTTATTACTTAAGTGCAATTTTTGAGAGCTAATGACATTCAAATGGCTCTATCAAAATGATATGAAATAAAATCCATGCTGAAGGCTTGATTTGCTCTTTTCCTTTGTCTCTATGCCTAGATTTTCTCTGTGCAAATGTATGAAAACACAAATACATACACTTGTTTACCCACCTTTGAGACTGGTCTGCCTTATTTAATTTTTCTAGCTGAGCTATACTGCTTGAAAATCTTTCAATATGACACATAGATCTTTCACATTTATTCACTCCCTCCCTTTCCTCCTTCCTTTCCTTAGTATGAATTTTCTTAATATACTATATAATAAAATACCAATTAATATTGTATTACATATCTACCTATCTAAATTTTAGGTAACTGTTGACCCTTTCTTTTACTAAAAACAATGTATTAGCATTCCCTAAATTAACTGTCATAATTTAAAAGGTAAGGGTTAAATTGTGTTTGCCCTAGACCTGATACTGTATGTCTCCATTTGATGATGATCTAGCAGAAACACAGACTTCTGGTTTCTAACAGTAAGTACACAGCATGATATTCTTTTTTATAAATATCTCAGGGCACATTCTATTGTTTCTCAGGCAAAAATGGAAATGAACATAAACTCAAAATAACCTCTGAAAAGTATGTCCTCATTTGGATATAATCACTTGGTTTCTATAATTTATCTTCAGATATTTTCAGTTTATATGACTGCTAGCTTTATTAGACCAACTCCCAAAACTTCACCCTCGTTTTCTGGGAATTACACACTGCTTCATCATCATCAAAAAAATAAAAAATTATATATAAATAAACCACAAATTTATGATATCTTTTTATGGTCTGAAACATATCAGGGTTATATAATTTAAGGCCTAGTAATAGCTAAAATGTTGGCACTAATTCATCATCATTTGGAAATGAAATAACCATTGTATTCCACTTTGAAACCAATAATTATTGTTTTCCATGCTCCAAATAGTCCCAAGTGGGTCAACTCACCACCAAAAGTACTTATTGAATTCCACTCATGGCTGCAATTGGCAATTGTCTTCCCAGGACTATTTATGAGGGATCTGATAAGATTTGAAGTCTTTAGAAGCACATTTATATATGCTGTTCCATTTTTTTTTTTTTGTCACAAACAACATCCTCTGACTTGTTGCCAAGGGAGTTTGGCTTAAATATGTGTTTAGCTCACATATCTTGTATTAAAAATATAAATCAATATTTAAGGGAGAGAAAAAATATTAAAAAAAAAACATTTTTGCCTTTTCTGGAAAAAACAGAAGTCAGGCAAAACCTGGGCCAGAATTTTACATGGTAGCCTTTAGAGAGAACTGAGAGTTCATGGCTCTGATGGTTGATTCATTACAGCAACTTCTTTTATATTGTCAATATCAAAGCTATTTGTAATAGAGGAATACTTATCTAGAAAGTTCAATCTTAAGAATTAGGGGTCTTACTATGGTCCACATTCATTTATTACATTTGATTTAATTAATCTATTTAAGATTCCTGCCTAGAAAAAATGTGCATGAGTGTGTGTCCCTTCATAAGGGTTGCAGTTATTTCTACAAGTGAGGAAACTAACTAGGTGATGCGCACAGGATGATGGAGGGTTGATATTGATACTAATAGTATCTATCATAAAGCCTGCTGCTATCGATTGTGTGTCCCCCAAAGTTTATTATGTTGAAAATTTAACCCCCAATGCAATAATACTGAGCAGTGGGACCCTTAACAGTTGATCAGGAGCTATTCGCTGTAGGCTGTGGAAGGAGTATGGTGAGTTTAAAGCTAGCCTCAGTGACTTAGTGAGGCCCTATGCAACTTAGTGAGACCCTGTCTCAAAATAAAACATAAAAAGAGCTGGGATGTGGCTCAGTTGTAAATTACCCCTTGGTTTAATCTCCAGTATAAAAAATAAAAAAGAGTTGATTAGGTCATGAGGACTCTTCCTTCAAAAATGGATTAACTCTGCTATCAAGGCATGGGTTAGTTATTGTAGGAGTGGGTTCCTGGATAAAGAATGAGTTTGGCTCCTTTCTTCCCCACCCCATCTTCCCTTCTGCCTTCTGCCTTGGAATGATGCAGCTAGAAGACTGTTACCAATGCGGCTTCTTTTCTCAACTTTAGATTTCATAGAACTATAAGAAATAAATCTCTGTGGCTTCTCTTCTACTCAGGATCAGATCTGTTATACTGGACTAAGATACCTACTATAGCCAATCATGCCCTCCCACACCCATTGCAAAATTATAGAAAAGAAGCAGTTCTTCATTAAACAAATTTTTTCACCTTTACCAGTAACTGAGAGATCTTCACCTGTAAATGGCAGAAGCCGGATGAGAGCCGGTGTCGTAGCTGGCACGAACTCGCCCTCGGTAGAGCTCCACAGCAATATGGTCTTTGTCCCCCTTGTACAGGAGGATGCCGCTGTCCTCATCTGTGGCGATCTAGTAGGAAGTCACCTTGATGTTACTAGGATGTACAGCCCACCAAACATCTTTCATCAAAAAGAGACAGACTACTAAGTGAAGTGAGGACTTTTTGTCCCTGTGGCTACGAGAAAATAATACATGATGAAATTATTGTTGGAAGGGTGACCTGTCTGCAGTTTGTTCTGTTGCAAATTAATTCTTAAAGAAATTGGAAAATAATAACAAATACTCGAGTAAATATGTTGGATTGGCTCAGAACTTCCTTTGCTGGAGATTCTCATTTATTTGCTGTTTTTGTTCCTATTATAGGCCTTGTTCTTGACAAATGCTAAAGATGACTGCATTGGGCAAGATTAACTTTCATATCCCATATTTAAACAACAACAAATTCTCTATAGTGATGCCACATGCAGCGGGAAATCTCTGTTCTTGTATTGCTCTTTTTCTTTGGGAGGCTTTTAAAGGACTAGTCAGGTCAAAGGTATGACTTAAACCTCAACACCACTGTATTCTTTCTGTAAGGATCCCAGGTGACAAATACTGGAAGATACAGGAAAGGTTTCTAAAGAAGGCCTACCTATCTCCTCTTGCTCATTACTTCAACTCAAGCCAACTCCTTAATGAAGTGTTGGGGTAAAAGAAATAAAAAGAGGTGGAGTCTCTAGGAAACTGGCTAATGCTGTTTGCATTCAAAATACAGGAAAAAAGATTTTGTTTACCAGAAAAAACAAACATGTAGCCCCATACACTGTGCACGTATCACCCCCAGTGTAGTTCAACTTTCTCCATATGGGTCTGAATGACTTGGTTAAAGGTACAAAATGATTTGGAAAGATTTAAAACATATTTGTAAATTTCATATAGATCCTTCAAAGCTTTGAGTGAAGAGTGAGCAGATACTGGCTTCACTGTGGTGTCTGTTTTCCCTGTACCCATTTCAGTCTCCTCCTGTGCAGTCTCAACTTCATAACCATGAAAACAAGTGCATAAAATATCTTTACTTGAGCCCAAAATTGAGGAACATACTTTGTTGCTGTGGGGATTTTACTCCCCTTTGGATCAAGTAGTGAATAAAAATACTGGTTCCTATTTCATTTAAAAAAATATAAATGTTGAAGAGAAGAATTACCAAAGCTTTTCCCACAAGGAACTTTTTTTGTCATTGGAGCATGAAGTTATTAACCTTCTATTTGATGAACACCACCATTTACTCACCAGCTACCCGGATGCACATTCCTAGAAGCTGAATGTGGCTTAAGATCAGATCAGCTTTTGCTGGAGGGGCAACTCTCACCTGAAGTGTGATGTTTGTCTGAGGTCGGACCTTGGCTGAAGGAATCTGAAGATAGGACTCTTTGTTTACAAAATTTACACTGACCAATTTTTCACACTTCTCTCCCTGGTATCCAGGTAAACACTGACATATTGGCTCATTTATCCTGATGATGCACTGAGCTCCATTCTGACAATCGAAATTATCGCAGGGGCTGGTACGAGGGAGGACCATGGGTGGAGAAAACTCACAGAACAAGCCACTGAAAAATAAAGAGGGGAAAAAACCATGTTAGTCAGAATATATGTGAATTTGAGTCTTGTAGAGCTCAAAATAGCAAGTGGCGCTTCTGCTTTACCTGTAACCTTCTGGGCAGATGCATGTATAACCATTCACTGCATCTGTGCAGTGGGCACCATTCTTACACTTGTTATCTTGGCAGTCATCAAAGTCAGTGTCACAGTGTTCACCAATGTATCCTGGTGTGCAATCACACCTGTTCGAGCAAGCAGGAAAAGTTTCAGACTCAACTGATATAATATTAATAAAACAGCTTCATTTCTTTGAGAAAACATGGTAGCATTTTAAATAAAACATAGTTAGAGTTGTCTTATCTCCAAATAATGGAGTCTAGTAAATGGTCCTAGCTGTAAACTATGGTGTGGTTTCTCACTTCGAACTGCCAGAGGAATGGTGAGTTTATCTCATTTGTGAGAGTGAACAGCCACAATACAAATAAGAGCAGATTAACTGCATTAGGGTTTCTTCCTCCCTCTTCTTCTTCCTCCTTTCCCTTCCTTACTCCACATTTTGCTTACAGAGTCCTTTATTTTTATTTCAGCCTAGTTCATTTTGACCACTGGAATGATAAAAGGGCTAAATTACAAAACTTACTGCAAATTGTAAACATATTTTTTTTAAATGAACATTTTACATTTTCCTAAAGAGACTAGACACACTGGAACAAAATATAATTTCAAGAAAACCAATTTTGTTAATACTGGATACCCAACTGGGCATGATGGCACACACTTATAATCCCAGTGCCTTGGTAGACTGAGGCAGGAGGATCCCAAGTTCAATGCCAGCCTGAACAATTTAGCAAGGCCCTGAACAACTTAGCAAGACCCTGTCTCAAAGTATAACACAAATTGCTGGGGATGTGGATCAGTGGTTATGTGCCTATGGGTTCAATCCCTGGTACCAAAACAAATAAAAGCCCCCCAAAAATATTATGCATAAAATCATTAGTATGGTATTTATATATAATATATGATCAATAAGTGATTGCTACTTTTTATAACTCTCTATATGCCTTTCTAATTCTATAAAAGTCTTATGGTTCATTCTTCACTAATCATCCCTGTTTTATTTCAAATATATTAGGATTTAAGTAAAGAAATTAAAAACACTGAAATGAATTTGACATTACTGAATGCCACGGATTTTACCTTAAAATGCAAAATCAGGACTTAAGCATTTCTGGAGAACTGATGAGTTAAACCAAATTGGCGAGTAGGCCTCCTAAGAGTAACTAGCTGACTTTGCCCTTGCATGTATGAATTAAGAAATGAAAGGAGCTCACTGCATCAGCACGCTTGATCTGCCGCCAGTTGGTTTTAATGATGAATCGTAATGAAACAAAGTAAACAGCAAGACTGAAGCTAAATGGACCCTAAGTGGCCATACAGATTCTGAAATAGTTGGACAAGGCCCTAGAAGAGAACTTCCATCAATGTTAATGTGAGCAGAGCCGCTGAAGTGCCAAGCAGTAAAAGAAAGAACAAATGCTTTGAAACACTTTGAATTATTCATCTGAGGAAAAAAGTCAAAGTCAAAGATAAGAGAACCAAGCCGTCACTACAGTGGCTGTCGAAGAGACTGTTTATATCCTCTTCTCTCCCAATACTGTTTTTCAGGCCCATTAGAACTTGCAGTTATATCATGATCAACATTTTTGTTTTCCTTTTGTTCCTCACAGCAAGTTTCAAAACAGAAAGAAAAATTAGAACAAGAATTCTTTTAAGTTTGCATTATCAATAAAACCTATCAAATTCCCTCTGCTCCACTGACAAGGAATGAAGAAAAAAAGCAAAGAATACAAAACATACCGTGGAGAAGCCCAAAAGCCGACTAAGTAAGATGCATGCTTGAAAAGACTACTTATGGCATATCATGGTCTAGAAATATCTCAAAGCAATTCAGGAGATTGATGAGGCATATAATATAGTAAGAAGAGTAAAACCAGACCTGATAGTTTACTAATGAGAAAATGAAGTTGAAGTAACAGTACAACTTGTCCAAACAACATTTGGCAGTAGGGATTTTCTTGACCAGCTTCATCTTATTTGATTTTTAAGATCATTTCTTTCTACAACTGTCATTCTCATAACATGCAATTATTTATAAGATGGGAGCCACAGCTAAAACTCTGACTTAACCAGTTTTTGGTTAACCTACGTATTGCTATACAAGGAGCTCCGTGAATTATTGACTAATGAAAATAGTGGACTTCCAAATAAGTTCATTTGTAATCTACAGAAAGGCACTTTAAAGAGTGTGCATCCTGATAGTAACAGAAGATGTTTAATTAAGAATTTGTTTTTTGAAGACAAACTCTTATTTTTAATGTTTCAATTAAGGCTTGCTTATACTTTATCTTATAATTACAAAGCCATGTGAAACCTGTTCAGCAGATAAGCAGTTATGGAGGATTTGCATATTTCTCTAAGAAATGATGATATTGATTATGTAGGTGATATACTTTCAATTTGTCAAGTTCATTTGTGGGCATATCAAAAGATTATCAGAAGTGAAAGTAATTACCTAAGGTGTTTGGTTGAATAAAATCTAGTGCAAAGTTTTGTGTAAAATAAAAAAATTTAATAGGACTTTTGGATTTTGCATAGAATTGTAAGCACCATGAAAGAAAGAATCAAACCTATCATTTTCATTCTTGATAAGATAACAAATGGGATTAGCAGTTACTACAACTGGCATCTATATACTCTAAAATTAAGATTTTAAAGCAAACTGAAAAAAAGAACACTGCCAAGAGAAAACTTGAGAATACATATTTAATTTGGATCAAACTTTGAAAGGCAGAAAGGGTCTACTGGCCTCACTCCCCCACTTGATTCAGAATGTCTGGTGATGTATTTGATAAATATAAAAATCTTACAGTAACAGCTTCTTATAAAAGTGTTCCTAAGCTGAGTGATTTTTAACTCTCTGAATCCTATGGCAATTAAGTGTGGGTCATTTCACTGAGAAGATGAAGTATGCAAAAGCTAGAGAGCATTACAAAAATATAAAATGGTATTATTACCATATGTCCTGTCTATGAAAGATATTCAATAAATACAGGCGAAGAGGCTAATAATCTCATTTTCTAATTGTCTGATGTAAGAACAGCTTAACTATAGTGCCATGCATACGATCCCAGCCTGTCATCTACAACACCAACTGTAGTGTTCATAAACTATAAAACCATCTAGGGTAACAGATATTAGGAAAATCACCCAACTGTAAAGTATCAAACCTGGCTCTGCCCACAAGGAAACTTGAGGTCTTTGGAGAGCCATCTGACATCTTTGGACTATGATTTCCTTGTGTTTAAGGTGAATTTGGATCACATGATCTTGAAGCCATTGGCAACTCTAAAAAGAGACTTTTGCTGTTGATCCACTGAAAATATTTCAGGATTGCAGCAAAGGAATCATGTAATTTGGTACCAAACAGACTTCAGAAATATTTCTCGAGAGGAAAGCAAAATCATTTTGATGTTCTGAGTTCACTTGAGGGAACCCTCTATCTAGTATGACTGTGACCCTTACAGAGCCTCAGGACATATATTAAGGCCAAAGGAGCACTAGTGATAATTACAGTAAGACGACAGGCACACCCTGGAAAAGTCTGGGCAGTCTGGGACACACAGTCGCTCATCTTTCCCACCTTGGATAGTCTGAGTATTCTTTCAGACCGTAACATTTTCAGTTACATTCAAATCAAATTCTTTATTTCACCACGAACATACCTTTAACGAGGCACCCAAGGATGCCAGGTATTTAGCTAGATTGGCTTTCAAACAAATGTGAGGAGGCTGAGGCTGAGGATCCTTTATTCCCCAATTGACTTCCCAGAAAGAGTCATAGCACAAAGCAAAAACCTCCTTTCTTTTTCTTCAGTGTACTGAGAGAAATCCATGCTGCATAATGACTATCCATAAAGTGGTCACTGGCACTAGTGAACAAGTCCTTTTAACCTTCAGCTGAGGTGTGAAGCTCTGGAGGAGAAGAAAGGTCCCCTCCCCAGTTGTGAGCCCAGGAGAGGTCCTCTAACTTACTTGAACCCCCTTGGCGTCAGGATGCACTTGGAGTCATGCTGGCATGGGTTCAGGTCCTGGGCACAGAAGTCCAGCTTCTCCTCACACAACTCGCCTGCAACATGGCAAATGTTGTCAGTCCACACAGACAGGTTATCAGGCTCCCACCAACCATCTGCATTAGGGGTCTTAGAGAGATTAGAACAGCTCAGGAGTGAAAATAAAACAGAAAAAGCAAACTAACTAACAAACTAATTAACTAACTAAACTAGAACCCCTTCCCCTACCATAGATGATGATAAGAAACCTGAAGATCCCATATTCAACCAATTTTGGTTCTGCTACTAAATTGGCTTGTAATTTAGGACAACTCCAGTGATGTGTGACTAATTTGAGACCCTTGAGAATCATACTGTTAGAATTGGGAGGAAAAATTGAATGCTTTTCATTCTTGCTTTATTTACGTATTTATCTGTGTATTTATTATTTATTTGGTTTTGAATTTTTATTGAGCTATAGCACAGACAGACCCAGTGAATAAATGATAGACAATAAGCATTCACAAACAACCCACTTAGGTGACCAGTATCCACATCCAATCACACCCTATTTGTCAGAATATCTGAAATCTCCTTCATGCCCCCTTCTGGTCACTAACCCCACCAAGGGTGGCCACTATCTTGATAAGACCATAGATTAGTTATCCCTGTGTTTGATCCTGACAGATATGGAGTCATTTAGTATGTATATCCCTTTATGTCTGGCTTATTCTGTAGCTTTATGTTTGAAAAAATATCTTCGGATGTTCATAGTCTTCAATGTCTTATGAATCTAGAAGAACAATACTTTGTTTCCCTCTTACGAATCATTGCAACAGCTCAACAAACAACAGCTTAGGCACATCCAAAGGAAAAAGTAAAAGTAAAAAAAAAAAAAAATAGAAGGGGCAGACACTCATTCCATGATTGTCAGTTAAGTCACAAAGAATAACTTTTATCAACAAATGAAAGCCACAAACATATCCATGTTGATTTGAGGCATTTTATATTGCATTGCATATTGGATAATCTCTTAGGAAATTTCTTCCAGTATGAATAACATGCTCACTATTTGAGGTATATTAGGCCAAGTAACATTCTTACTGAGATACTAATTTTCCCAATCAGTGAATATAAGATACTAAGGTGACTGTAAAGGTACATTTTCAAAAGTTGGTTTCTACCTTACTTCCAAATATTTTTAATTGTTTTATATGCAAAAAATGAAGAAATAAAGTGACATATTAAAAGGCAAGTGTTCAATTCCGAGGAACTACTAGAACTTTCATTTGTTCAGAGTCTGAATTTAAACACTATTGGCTTAAAAATCAGAACTTTGAAGGTAATTCTTTTGCTAAAGATGGTCCTTTTTAAAGCTATATACTACTGACCGGTAGAAATAGTTGCCACCTGAATGTGATATATATTATTTTAACTTAAAGGATCTTTTTCTATGAGGCATGTGTAAAAATGTATTCATCTAGTTATTATATCAATCTGTTTTCTCTATGTCTTAAAATGAACGAATTGCATTGAAGGTCTCATATATTTCTTCTGTAAGATTTTCAGTGTCTCTAAATCTGTGAGACAAAAAGCTTTTAACAACATTTATCTGGTGAGCTACTTTCAAAGAAGGGTTTTCAATATTTGTGATTTTAATTACTAGGACTTCAAGTTAGGCACCTTGATGGAATTTGTCCATTGTGTTTTATTGGCCTACCACAATTTAATTACTTTCCGTTTTCTAATCAAAGCCATCTTGTTTGGATGCAATCTATTTACAGTTGTTTATATCCATGGCAATTCATAAAACTGATGATAGAGAAGGACCACTTGTGATACATATTAAATGTCATCTATGTGCTTTTCACTTTATTCCCAAATAAGAAATTCTAAAAGTGATAAGAAAGGAATGTTTTATTTTTATTCACTTTGATCCAATCCAACTCAGTCCAATTAATCCCATTTAAGTCAGAGTTCAACAAGATATACTGTATTTTGTTATACTAGATGCAAGGACTACAGGGAGGGATGTGGTTGATCTTGACTACAGTCAGTTCCTAGAAAAAGTCTGAGCTAGAGACAGAATCTAGAGTGAATTACAGCGCTGAGAGAAGAAAAGAGCTGATTCTGTCATCTCCACAAGAATTTCTCCATAGATCTGCTATGGAAAGGAGTGAGAAGAAAGGCAATTCTAATAAACTGTGGGATAGATAGATTGCCATATTTGTAATTAAGAGCTTTAGGCTAAGCATGCTAACTTGAATGTGAAAAGCTGCATGAATTTCAAGTACGTATTCCTTAAATCTATAAGAACAGTATAAGACCAATATCAGTCATTACTGAAGTTGTATATGGTAATTGCTTGTTTCCCTTACATAGATACACACCTGACTCTGATAAGATTGATGGACTATTTTAAAAATGACTTGATTCTTTTTATTCTCACCAAACATTTTAAAGCTAACACATATTGCAAAAGCATTCCCTGTGTTTCACTGCTGCCTAACTCATTTTTAAAGCCCAATCTTCTACCATACACTTTTCTCATCTGGTCTGTTCACTGTTTTATGAAGTTAACTCAATGCTTGGGATAATGTTTTTTTTTTTCTTTTGCTTTAATAACTTTCTTTGACATTTCTGTTGTTGATTTTTCTCACTCAGGCTTGTGCCTACTTTATGGCAAATATATTATATTGTTTATTTACTTAATCAGTATTTGTAGAGTGCTTACTACCTTGTTCCAGGCAGTTTTAAACATCATGTAAATATGTGGTCACTTAATAGTCATGACAAGCATAGAAGGCAGGTTGTAGAGTTGCACTGTTATGAGTGCATTTTGTGTTATTGGTGTATATCTCTTTCCTTTTGTTTGACTGCAAGATCATTATGAGAAGAAACATTGGCATATTTGCTTTTGTGTCTTCCTAGAGTTATGATATGGTGATATACTCAAGTAGTAGTTATTGGAATAACTATTCATATAAGTAGTTAAGCAAGAACTCTAACTTGTCTATTTATGTTCAACTTGGGTTTTATTTTAGCCTTTGGATATTTTTCTTTTTAATTTTTACTACATGTGATTAATCAGTAATAAAAGATATCTTATTCTCTTCAGTTTGAACATTATTTTATTTCCTGCCTCAGAATCAAAATAAATGTTTTCACTGGGTTATTTCTTTAATTTCTCCTAATTATATTACATTCTGCTGTATTGGGGAAGTACAGCTTTTAAAAGTCAAGTGGCATGCCACAATGGGGAGTCTTAAGAGCTCAATATAATAAGGAAAACATAACATGCCCTTTAGACAGATGTTGGACTCTGCATTTACTTCTCAATCATTAAAGAAATTGGGCACTGAAAATGGCATCAGTTTTTCAGGATGAACAGAAATAAATCACTACAATTATAGTGACCTAAACTATTAACTGGGAGTATTGTAAAAGTTCCCCTGTACCTGAAAGGACATCATACAAATTTTATTTTTAAATTTTTTTTCTACATGTGTAGTCAGAGATAGTACCAAGTTAGTGAAAAAAGAGAAAAAAAAATACGGGGACTGAGTTTAGTTTTCTGAAGTTCCAGGGCCTGAAAGAATATCAATGGCCACTTCCCTTCTTGAGTTGATAAAATCATAGTGGAATATTCTTCATTCCAATCCATATAGTCAGTGTGAAAATCAATTACTGTATAAGCAAGTCTTTATATGTTTAACCCAGCATCAGAAAACATATTTAGCATGGTTGAATGCAGGTTAAATGTCTGCTCATAAACCTCTCAAGAGACAGGTATCTGGACAAACCTTGAGTCCATGATCTGGCACCAACCCATTCCACAAAATCTCAGGAAATCTATTTGTTTTCTGCCATGAACCTTTAAAATCCCCAAATGACAAAACAAAAACATGGAACACTATGGATATCTGGCCTTTGTGATTTTGCTTTTGATCAGATCAGCAAGTTAACTTTCCTTGTGATTATGGTTTTCAACTTTTTTGGTGGATAAGGGGTTCAAGGTTGGTAGGTGGATATATATGTGCTGCTTGTCTGTATACTGGAGGGGAAACAGTGATCCACCAGCAGGTCTATTGCTAACTCTTAGGATAACAAAGGTTAGTGAATGAACTCCTGTAACTGGTAACAGAGGTAGTTGGCAAGCAATTTCTCAGCACAGCAGAACTTTCTGAAGACAAAGCACCATGTGTTCTAATCAAAGGCACCTTTCTGGTGAGAAAATTATGCCAAGTTCTTGGGTCATCTCATCTGACTACATCTGTCAAGTAAACATGGGACTGGAGATGTCAAGCTCTACAGTAGCAGAGCTTGAGGGAATATGGCAGTAACAGAGCTTAAGAGAATATGAGCTGTGAGGGAACATGACAAGAGTGGAGCCCAAATCCCTAAGAGGGTATGGGTTCTTGTGGGCACACACTTGAAGAGTGGAACATCAGTGAACATATTAATTTCTCTGACGAATTTTTCATAGTGGTAATGTGACCATTCATTCTAGCTTTCTTAGGACAGTCCTGTTTTACCTTTATCTCAACTTGATTGTCAAGGGTATTCACAAGCACACACAAAGGTGCCCTGCTCTGGATGGTAGGCATTATGGTCATCTACCAGGTATAACAGTGAATGCTGGTCACCAGAGTTGATAATACTCTTAAGTGAAGAGTGAATCAACACACAGAGATGAATAATGCAGCCAGCAAGTTACCAGAGAGAGCATTATGCTTAGCTGTGCAGAATAACATTATAGTCTTCAGGGGTACAAACAGGGTCTAATGTGTACCCAGAGCCCCCATGGTACCAATATTGCAAATACCACTGCAATAAGCAGAAAGCTCTATGCACACAGATAGCTGCTCTGAGAAGTAGCACCTGGAATTGACCTTATTCTCTGCTTCATTTCAGATCAATGAGCTTAACTGATTTTAAAGTTCCTTCCTTGTTAAAAACAACAATGACAAAAACCCACCACCAACAACAGCAAAAAAGAAAAAAAACAAAATCAGACCCTTCTGTTTACCTTCGTTTGTAATTCTCTCCCTTCATTATATCTTTTTGTTTAAATTTC